CTCGTGGAGGAGCGCCTTGCGGTCCTCGGCGCGGAGCGGGCCGGAGTCGAGCCCGCCAAACACGAGTTGGATGGCTGCGGCGGCGGGGCGGGAAAGCGGGAAAAGCGTTCGCGGCGGGACGGGCGCAGAGCGATGTGTCTCTGAGGGAGGAAGGAACCCCGCCCGGCGGGGGCGGGGCGAGCGGGGCTAGATGCCGCGTCACGAAGAGGGGTGGCCCGACCGCCCGCTTCCCACCCCTGCACGGCGGCAAGCGCGCCGGCGCGCGGGCGGCGGCGGCAGGAGCGCGGAGAGACGCGGGTGCAGTGTTGGGGCTGCGAGGAGGGGCTGCGTCCCGCGGGACGGGGGCTGGCAGGGAGGCTGCGGACCGGCGAAGAAGTTCGACTTTCCCGAGCCGTTGGCACCCACTGCGGTGACGGGGAGCGGTCGTGTGAGACGGCAGCCACGGCCGGCGGGGCGGCAGAAGCGCACCGACGATGTTGTGCTTCGGGGAGAAGGGGTCGAGCTCGATGCGGTCCTTGTAGCACTTGAAGCCCTCCATCACGAGGCGGAGGAGGCGCATGGTGGGCCGAAGACGGACTGGAGGGGGCCGGCGCCGCTGCTTCCCGCTCGTTGGGGGAAAAAAGAAAAATCGCAAGCCTGTTCTTTATTATTTTTCCTCCATTCTCGCTAACACGAAAGCAAACCCCGGGCCTCGCAGTGTACCGGAATACGCGAGTCGAGAACGCTACCTACTCGCTCGAGCAGGTTGTGAGAGAGAGGTTGTGTGTGTGTGTGTGTGTGTGTGTGTGTGAGAGTTTCTTGTGTGTGTGTGTGTGTGGAGGGAGGGGCGGGGGCGGGGGGGAGCTTGAGTTCATGAATGAAACAGCCTCAAAAGTACTGTAGTAGTGTAGCTAGTCGGAAAGGTGCACACGACACCCAGTCTTCTGTTCTGCATCTAAGGGGCGCGTGCTCGGGTCGACGCCATCACCTCCGCGACTGCCGCACTCTCGCTCGACGACACCCGGTGGAGAATCACACCGAAGACCTTGCCGAGGCGATAGGCCGGATCACGTTGGACCCCGACCCCGACCCCACCCCTCGGGGTGGGGGCACCCGCCCCTGCCGGGCACCGCTTGCGGCGCCTGGCAGGGGCACCCCCCGGGTGGGGGCCGGCGATTCCCATGCCGGCTCGATGGGGAAAAAGAATTTAGAATTGCACCGAAGCTCCCTCGAAGACACGGGGCACGGGACTGGCGCGCACTGGCACTAGCACAGGTACACCGGGGGGAAAGAATAACGCACGGGCCCTCAGCGGAGCTGGGAAGAGGACCGCCGCAAGCGGCGTGGCGTGGAGCGGTTGTGCATCCCTCCGGGGGGCCCCTCTGCGCCGGGGAGGCGTTGTTGGAGGCTAGGACGCAAGCGTCCGTCGGCCTTTTTCAAACTCGGGGCCCACTCCGCTACAGCAGCGGGCCCCCGGAGGCTGTGCCTCCAGCTGGTTGTAGAGCAGCTCCATCAGCAGCGTCGCGTTCTCCACGATGAGCACCTCCGGGTACCGCCCTCGCCACTGCCCCTTCGCAACGATCCGCGCGATCTGCTGCACTCTGGCTCGAGCGGTCTCCATCTCGCGCCAGATCGCCTGCCACCACCAGACCCCCATTTCCCTCTGCTTTGCCCGCCTGCCACCTGCTGCCTCTCCCCTGCTCGCCGCGCCGCTGCCGCTCGGTGTTTAGCGAGGTCGGCCTCCGCCTGGGCGCTCATCGAGGCGCTCAGAGCTTCCGCCACGGGCTCCTCCACCGGCCGGGCTGGCGTGTCACCGCCGGCCGCCCAGGGCGGCAGAGGGGACGGCGGCGGTGAAGGCGGTGGAGGGGACGGCGGCGGTGGAGAGGAAGGCGGGGGCGAGGGGGGAGGGCTTGGTGGAAGGAGGAGAGGGCGGCGGCGGCGACGGGGGAGGCGGAGACGAGAGGGTGGTGGTGGAGGGGGCGATGGCGGAGAGGGCGATGGCGGAAATGGTGGTGGCGGAGAGGGAGGCGGAGGTGAGGGCGGAGAGCTCGGTGGAGGTGGAGAGGGCGGCGAAGGAGCGGGTGGTGGTGGAGGGGGCGGCCAAGGAGAGGGCGGCGGCGGTGGATCTCGCTGTCTGGTGTTAATGGACCCCCTTCCTCTCCCTCGCCACCGTCACCGTCACCATCCCCGTCGCTCCCGACGGGAGGGCGAGCAAAAGGGAGCATGAGCCAAAATACCTGAGCAGGATCGGACCTGGCTGGCGCGAATTCTTTGAAGGAGCGCTACCAGAGTCCAGAGTTGTCACGCCAGCCACACGGCACACGCCCACGCGCTCGCTGGGCGGTGCTGAGACTGGCCGCAGCGCGATGAACGGCAACGATGGGCCGTTTGCTTGCAACGGTGGCATAAGGCGACTGATACACCGTCGCGAGGAGGGAGGGCCGCCTCCGCGTACCACGATCTCTCGCGCGGTGGCGGTGCAGCACGCCAGTAGTAGAGCCGCAGCGCAATTCCCGGTCCCATCAGCAGTGCGATGAGGGCGTCGGGCGAGAGCCGAGAGAGCGACGGCGAGGAGTCGCATACCGTAGCCGAGGCACTGCTCCGGCAGGAAAAAGCCCGACCAGTCGATGGAAATCGCGTTGGCCAAGTTGTCGGTCCAGCTCGTGTACTTGTCCGGCAGTGAGTGAGTGAGTGAGTATTCTTGATACGAAACCAGCCGTCGTCGCCCGGCGCTGCATGCAGCACCGTGGCGATGGCGCTAAGAGGTTCCTCTTTTCCGCGCCCCCCCCGCAAGGCGCGCGATACACACACTCACACTCACACACACTTGTCCGGCAGCCGCGCGGAGAGGGTGGAGAAAAGAAATTTAGCCGCGACTGCCCGAGATGACCCGAGATGGCCCGAGATGGCCTGAGATGACCCGAGATGTCCTCGAGATGTCCCGAGATGGCCCGAGATGGCCCGAGATTCTCCGGGCTCATCTACTCGCCCACGCTGTGAGCAACAGTTCCTTCAGCAACCCAATTCGGGCACCATCTCACGCGCCTACCGGGCACTCCAACACTCTCACACGCCGATCCACGCGCGGCCGGCGCCCCTCATGACCCTCTCCACGCACGCCGCGTGACTACCACACGTACGTCCCCGCGCGCACGCAAACATACGCGCAGCGCCTTCAGAGCTGTGCCATGTGCGTCTGCCCTGTGCTGGCACCCCATGGCTGCGCCAAGCCGCCCGCACCAGCCGCCCGCCTCTCGCACCACCAAAGCCAGCTGCACGACCACTCACGCCGCGACGCGCGCGCCGCAGTGCGCCTCTCACTGAAGTCTGCGCCTGTTTCACAGGCGCCTGCACACTCCTTCAGGCGCCATGCCACACCAGAGCGCGACGCGCCCGGCAGGACGCTTCACCGCGAGGCGCGCGCGGCGGCATGCCGCGCGCGCAGGCCACCACGCGCGCGCTCCGCTACCCGATCAGGGCTGCTGCACAGTGCAGGCTGTGCAGCAGCCCTGCCTGTTCTGAACACTCAGCCCGTGTGCTCCGCGCTGCGCCCCTGCCGCCCCGCGCCAGACACGTCGCAGATCCTGCACCGCACGAGGCGCGCGCGTGGCACGCTGCGCGCGCGCTCCGCCATATCCGTTCAGTCCGCTGTCCAGCCTGCCTGCACACAGCACAGCACGCATGCAAGGTACATGCGCACGCCGCGCAGTCCCCGCACAGCGATGCAGCCCGCACTCCGCGACAGTCGCCTGCCCCACGTCGAGCCCGTGCCTGCCGCACGCAGCTGTGCGCACTGTATTCCTCGGTATTTCTTTGTCCGCTGAAACAATAATCCAGAAAACAAATACAAAAACTTCGCCGCCTCCTCGAGCAACGCCCCGAGCCCATCACCAGGGGGCAAGTGTGCGTGGCACCTTCGACCCCACCGGAAAAAAGGGAGAATTCCTTTGGAAAACGCCCTGCACTGCACTCTCCCAAAAAAAAACATCCGACTCTTATGGAGAACGCCGAATGCCAGAACACCAGGGGGCAAGTGTGTGTAGCACCTTCGACCCCGAAATGAAGGTCACCACACCAAACCGGGCGCTAGGAGAGGTGAACTGAAGGCTGAGACAACGGAGGTCGAGCCTGAGTGGGCGCCCGCGCGCCCCCACACAAGCAAGCCTCTGTCCTTCGGCCCACTCCAGCGATCGTCCGTGGGTGACCGCGAATAACACGAGCATCGAATCAATTCCCACACCACCCGACCCCCCTCTAGGGACAGCAGTGCGCATCTCTTCCCGGAGAGGGAAGGAGGGGGGGGGGGGGGGGGAGATCAGAGAGCCAGAGGGTAGGGAGTACCCCCGACGGACGCGAGTCTCGGGGGGAAAGCGAGACGAGAGATCTAAGGCGAACTTCATCGCCCGTCCAGGAGCCCCGCATTAAGGTAGCGACCCCAGGTTAAGAGCTAGGCTTCCCGACAGGGCAGGGAACCCCCAGCGCGCAGGCGGGGCCCACGGTAGCCTCGTGCAGTACGCGATACCGAGAGCTTGGGGGGAGGCGCGCCACGCCAAGGGGGACGAGCGACGGGAGGGGGAGAGTAATGTCTTTCGCAGGATAAAAATTATTTTTTCATCTACTCGCCCATGGCCGTCTCGACCATGGCTGATGAACTCAATTGACGGCCAAGAGCCAATAAATGATCAACTCATATATTCATCAACTCCCTGCCGTTTTCTATAAATTTAGCTGCGCAGATACAGATCCCGACTGTTCACAAGTGGGGATGAGAGAGAGTCGTCTCTAATATATGTTAGCTCGTCGTTACGAGGAAGCCTCAGCATGTTACATAAAACGCCCTATGCCAACGCAGCGCACTCCTGGAAGTGGGGAGCGCGTCCAACCCTTGCCGCTTGAGCCGAACTGCAAAGTTGCTCGTCACCTCTACACCTGCTCCACCTCTGGCACCTGCTCCAGCTGCGAATCCTCCTCGGTAACGACTGGGTCGGACGTCGTCGAGCCGCGAGGCGCGGTAGTGAAGCGCCCGATATTCGAAAGCGAGTCGCGGATGCTCGAGCGAGCGCTCACCGGGGTTGCGCCCAGAGCCTTGGCCAGCAGCACGAGCGACACCTGTGAGACCGGGGGTGCAAGATCAGTCGCTTCAGGAGGCGGGCGCTGTGGCAAAGGTGCCGCCGGGGGAGCGCACCTCATGGTGCAGGCCAGGGAAGCAGGCAATGGCGAGGGCGTCGTAGAGCCCGGCGTTGATGAGCTCCTGCGGCGGCGGGGAAGGGGGGCATGGAGCGGGCGGGACATAAAAGATCGACCGCTGATCGGCAGTGTTCCTGAGGCGTGGTCTCAAAAAACTTGGCGAACTCACAGCCGCCGCGGTCGAGGTCGTTCTCGTGCGCCATGACGATCTTCAGCCTGTCCTGGCGCGCCTGCTTGACCTGCTCGGCCAGCCGCTCGTCGGACCAGGTGTCGGCGTTCAAATAGAGAAGCATGTGCGTGGCGTCGCCCGCCTCCTCGGCGGTGGAGACGGTGAGACCGGAGAAATTGGTGGCGAGCTCGCTGGCCAGCTCGTCTGCGCCCTCATCGAACGGCGAGGCCCAGAGCACGACGGACTTGGAGAAGGAGATCGGCTGGCCCTGGACCTCGCCCGGGATGAAGAGCGGGAGGGAGGTCAGGTTCAGGTAGTGTGGCGAGCAGAGGAGGAGCGCCTGTGGGTAGGTGCGAGGGGGCGGCGGTCAAGGTCGAGGCGACGGCAGAACAGCTGCAGGGAGTTGTCCGTGGCGGCACCTCGGAGATGATCTTAAGCGAGACACGCTGATACTCGTCGATGCGGTGCCACGTCGTCTGCGCCCACCCACTGTCAAAGATCTCCGGCTGGAGGACCTCCGGGCACTGTGCTCGCAACTCCTGCAGTCGTGCAGCGACGGTGTGCGTGAGTGAGTGCTGGCGTGCGGCGGCGGCGGCGACACCGCCCCTCAGAGCCGTGTGTGGCGAGAGCAATCCCCGCAGGGTCAGAGCTGGGGGTGGGCGGGGAGCGCCTGCAGCGTCCCGCCGCCCTTGGCCGGGTCCGCCTCTTGCACGAGGACGAGCGGCTTGCTCTTCTCGAGCGACGTCCGAATCTCGCGCAGGCAGTTCTGCAGGCAAGGAGCGCACGAGTAGTCGTGGGCGACACAGCGAGGCACTCTCGGAAAGGGAGGGGGGCTGGGGGAGTGCCTTCGAGCGGAAGTAGCCCCTCGACAGGAAGAAGAGCATGACCTGCGTGCGGTCAACGTAATCCTCCAGCGACCCGATGTCCTTCAAATCATCCACATCGAGGAAGATCTTGATGCCGGGGATCAAGAGCTTAAGCTCATTCTTGATGACCGCGACGGCGTCTTGGCCGGTGGACCTATTCGGGGAGTGGCGGGTCGTTCTGGCGGGTTCCTACGCCGCCTCTCCCTCTGACCACAGGACTGACCAGATGTGCGAGAGGAAGAGGTGCCACGTGAGGCCGTCCACCAGAGCCAGCTCGGGGGGCTGCTTGGTTGAGACGAGGCGAATCGTGGGGACCTTGGCAAGGCGGCGGATGGCGATGATGGTACCCACGAGGAAGATCAGGAGCGCAGCCGCAGCAAGGACGAGCATCCAATTCACCAGTCCATTCTCAGACCTGAAGCCGAGGACGGCGGAGGCCGACTGCCCCGGCTCGTCGCCGGGGAATCGCAACTCGATGTTGAGGAAGATGGTGGTCCAGCTGGCACCGAGGAAGAGGAGGAGGAGGACGAGGCTGGTGGCCTGCAGTGCGAGCCGCGTCCGTTGGGCTCAGAGTGACTGCAGTGGGAAGGGCGTGTGTGGGGTGGGTGATGGACTGGCCACGGCGATCCAAGCGTGTGCTGAGAGCTGCAGCACAAGCAAGCGCAAAGGGCGTGTGGGATTGGGCGAAGGGCGCACCACGGCGAGGATGTTGTCCTCGAACCGCTTGTAGGGCTGGACCAGGGCGATCGCGACGGCGTAGCACGAACACACGAGCACCGCCACGACGAGACGAACAAAGGAGTCCTCCTCCTCGGCAACCAGCAGCACGAAGCCCGTCAGAAAGAGCTTGCGGGCCAGATCGGCCGCCTCCCACCAGTACCAGTTCCTTTTGTACTCCCGGTGAAGGAAGGCGGTGGCCTTCGTCAGCGCGTTCGGCGACTTGGCCTGCAGCGGCTTGTAGCATGCGAGAAGAAGGGCCGAGTAGAGGACTAGCGAGCCGACCGGCCAGATGACGACGAAGCCGATGGCGAGCCTCGTGATGGAGTCGTGCTCGTCGGTGCCGCACTCGACGCTCGCGTCCTGCCGCATGTACTCGACCAGAGCGAGCGTCTCGCCCGGCGCAGAGGTGGTGTAGCCCTGCGCACGCACATCGACACAAGCTAAGGGGGTTGGGGGGGGGGGGGGGGGGCTTGTTTGTTTGTGGCTAGCACCTGGCACGACCACGCGCGCAAGATCGTGGCGCTCACAAACGGCCCCAAAAGAAAGATGAGCACGAGACCCGCCGGCGTGAGGTCGAGGAGGCCGAGCGCCACCTCTGCAGGCCATGAAAAGACCGCCGCATCGTCAGTTTCGGCCAGCGCCGTCGGTGGCTCCGCAGCTGAAGACGATGGTGGCTCCTGCAGCTGTGCTTCGCCACCGAGAACGTTGCTTGTCGCGCCGTCGACCTCGGAGCCGCTCTCGCAGCCAGCCCCTCGCCGAGCACGCCGCCAGCGAGCACAGAGCCGCAAGACAATGCCAGCAAAGAGGAGCAGCGCGATGACGCCGATGGGAGAGATCGCGACGGCGACGAGCCGGGACTTGTGCGGCAGGCACTGCACCGGCAGCACGACGCCCGACCAGTCGATGAAGACGGCTTCGGCCAGCGCCTCCGTCCAGCCCGTGTACCGTTCCGGCAGCCGCGCCGAGTAGGTGGTGGAGAGGACGAGGCAGACCTGGTAGAAGCCAAACAAGATCTTGAACTTGGGGATGAGGCCGATTTTGTAAATCGCGTCGCCGGTGCGGTCGGCGATGCGCAAGGGAAGTCCGATGAAGCGCTCCTTCCTCCACTCGGTTTGCCCGCGCTGAACTGAGTACGCCAACGCCACGAGGCCAAACGCGACGCAGAGGCCGAGGGCGGTGCCCGCCATGCGCCCCGCCGCCGTGCCGACAGCGACGCACTCGTTGCAGGCGGCGCCGTCGGCGTCCAGGTAGTGGTTCGGCTCGCGGCAGAGCTGGCACTCGGGGCCGGCGAAGGCGTCTGCGCAGTAGTCCAAACCGGCCTCCTGCACCCTCCGACCGCTAGCCTCTCCCGGATCAACATTGCCGACACACCGCGCCTGGCCCGCCTGGCCATCCCCTCCAAAGGCGCGGCACTCTGTGAGCTCGGCGCTGGAGAAGCTGGCGCGCCAGAAGCCGAGCGGGACGCCGAGGGTCTCGAGGGTCGTGCCGACCGGGCACGCGGCGTCCGATGGGCATGGCTTGCAGTAGTCGGTCGGGGATTTGAAGACGTCGGCCGGGTCGGCGCTCGCCTTCAGGTAGAATCCCGCCTTGCAGACGGAGCAGGTGACGCTGCCAGTGCCGCTAGCAAGAGGGTAGGGGCAGGGGATGCACTCGCCCTGGCCCTCGTTGGCGGCGTAAGTGTCGGCAGCGCACTCGTCGCAGGAAGAGCTGCCGGCGCCGGAGGACGTGCCGCGAGGGCACCTCTCGCAAATGCTCTGTCCGGCGAGGGCGGTGAAGGTGCCCGGCGAGCACGGCGTCTGCTCGGTGGAGCCGGTGGTGGCGAAGTGGCCCGGCGAGGCGTCGGTGCACTCGCCCGCGGCGGTGAGGTTGGTGGCGCGCGAGTAGCTGCCAGCCTCGCACGGCAGCGCCGCCGCCGCGCCCTTGGCGCAGTAGCCGCCCGCCTCGCACGGCTTGCACGCCGTCTGCGCCTCCGCGTCCTGGTACGTGCCGCCGGAACAGGCCGTGCACTCGCCCTGCCTGGTCTCGTTCGTGTACGACCCCTTGGCGCACGCCGTCTGCTCGGTGGAGCCGGTGGTGGCGAAGTAGCCCGGCGAGGCGTCGGTGCACTCGCTCGCGTCGGAGAGGTTGGTGGCGCGCGAGTAGCTGCCAGCCTCGCACGGCAGCGCCGCCGCCGCGCCCTTGGCGCAGTAGCCGCCCGCCTCGCACGGCTTGCACGCCGTCTGCGCCTCCGCGTCCTGGTACGTGCCGCCGGAACAGGCCGTGCACTCGCCCTGCCCGTACGCGTCCGTGTACGACCCCTCGGCGCACGCCGTCTGCTGCGTCGAGCCGGTGGTGGCGAAGTGACCCGGCGAGGCGTCGGTGCACTCGCCCGCGGCGGTGAGGTTGGTGGCGGTCGAATAGCTGCCCGCAACGCACGGCAGCGGCGCCGACGCGCCCTCGGCGCAGTAGCTGCCCTCCACGCACGGAAGGCAGCTCGTCGCGTTCGACTCGCCCTGGTACGTCCCGCCCGCACAGCTGGCGCACTTGGAGAGGCCGGCCGTGGCGGCGAAAGAGCCCGGCGAGCACTCGGAGGGCGGCGCCGCCCCGCCGCCGCACGACGAGCCGGCGGGGCAGGTGAGGCACTCGGGGTCGCCGCTCCGGTCGGTCAGCCTGGCGTACGTGCCAGGCGAGCACTGCGCGTCAAGCTCGCGCGACGAGCCCACCGGGCAAAACTTGCCGGGAGCGCAGCGGACGCAGGCAGCGGCGGCGGGCTCGCTCTGGTAGTAGCCCTGGCCGCACAGCTCGCAGGCCTCGCTGCGCGCCTTGGCGGCGAAGCTACCCTCGCGACACGGCGTCTGCTCTGTGGAGCCGGTGGTGGCAAAGTGGCCCGGCGAGGCGTCGACGCACTGCGAGGCGGCGGTGAGGTCCGTCTTGTCCGAGTAGGTACCCGCGTCGCAAGGCAGTGGCGCCGACGCGCCCTTGGCGCAGTAGCTGCCCTGCTCGCAGTCGCGGCAGGACGTCGCGCCCGTGTCGTTCTGGTAACGGCCCGCAGGGCAGTCCGTGCACTCACTCAGCCCGGGCTCGCCGCCAAACGTCCCAGCACGGCAGCTCGCGCAGGTCTCGCTGCTGTTTGCGCCGGTGATCGGGCTAGAGGTACCGGGGGGGCACTTCTGACAGGCATCTGGTGAGCTGCTGCCCGTCTTCTCGTTGTAGCTCCCCGCAGGGCAGGGTGTGAAGCCGCCACCGCAGTCATCTGTAGCCTTGCAGTATCCACCCGCTTCACACGTGTCGCATGCCGTCTGTCCGCGCTCCGCCTGGAACTCGCCAGCAGGGCACTGCATGCACGCAGCCTGGCCGGTGAGGTTCTGGTACTGCCCTGCGGCACAGTCGAAGGGCTGGACGGTGCCTGCATTCGGGCAGAAGCGTCCCGCGGGGCAGTCGGTGCAGCTGGTGGCGTTGAGCTGATCGGCGAACGTGCCGGGAGGACACTCGTCGCAGGGACGGTCCGTGCCGGCTGTGGACTGGCTCGTCCCCGGAGAGCAAGGGAGGCACGACTCGGCACTGGCTGCGCCAATCACGGGCATGTAGAAACCAGGCGCACACGGGAGCGGTTCCGCTGTGCCCTTTGGACAAAAGTGGCCTCGCTTACACGCACCATCGCAGGAGGAGTTGGTGAGGCCGCTCCTGTTCCCGTAGTAGCCAGCGGAGCAAGGGTAGCACTCCGGGGCGCTGAAGTCGCCCTTAAAGGCGCCCTCGGTCTGCATCCAGCTGCCCAAGCGGCAGTCCCAGTCTATCGGCGAGTCGGTCTGTATCGTCTTGTCGTCGCCAGCGGTGTTGCCGGTGAAAGAGGCGTCGCTGATCGAGGTACGTTGGCTGAGTCCGTCCAGGTACAGCACCGAGCCTGACCTCCCCGCTCCGTTGTCGATGAAGTCGACACCCGCGATGGAGAGAGAGTCGCTGTCCCACGCGTAGACGACGCCGCCGAACTGCGGTTGCGAGGAGAGAGCGGGGTGAGGCAGCCGTGGCCCTCTCCATCGCCCGCCCCGCTGCCGTGCGGCGCTGCTGGAGGCAGGCTAGCTCTACGCGGCGCACCTCGCCAGCCGAGCAGCCCGACACGGTCGAGCCGCTTATCGAGACCACACCGCTGCTAACCGCGTAGACGACGCCGCCGCCGAACTGCGGTTGCGAGGAGAGAGCGGGGTGAGGCAGCCGCGTGGCCCTCTCTGTCTCTCGCCTCGCTGCCGCGCGGCGCTGCATGGGCGCGGCTAGCTCTACGCGGCGCACAGCGCCAGCCGAGCAGCTCGTCACGTTCGAGCTGCTTATCGAGACCGCACCGCTGTCCCGCGCGTAGACAACGCCGGCGTCCTGCAGTTGCGAGGAGAGCACGGAGTGAGGCAGCCGTGGCCCTCTCCATCTCCCGCCCCGCTGCCGTGCGGCGCTGCTGGAGGCCGGCTAGCTCTACACGGCGCACCCAGAGAGCAGAGCAGTCTCTGACCGTCGAGTCGATGATCTCGACGTCGCCTGCCCCGTCAGCGTACACAACGCCGCCGTTATTTTCGCCGTTGCTCGACCTCCCGTTGACGAGGTTCAGCCCCCGCAGGGTGAGGCTGCAGCCGCCCCCGAGGTAAAAGAGCCTGGTCTGTTCCTGGCCGTCGAGCCTCGCGCCCTCGCCGCTGCTCGCGACGGTCACCTTGATGTCGGAGCCGCAACTGATCTGGCTGAGAAGCTTGAAGTCCGCACCGGGCGGCAGGTAGATTGAGACGTCGGCTTGCGAAACAGCAGCCTCCGCGATCAGGGAGCGGAGCTTAGCCTCGCTCGACGCGGCGACAAAGTCCGGGGAGAGCGGCGGCAGCGGCGGGGGCGGCGACAGAGGCGGCAGCGGCGATGGCGGCGGCGGCGCGGAGGGCGGAGACGGCGGCGGCGGAGAGGACGGAGAGAGGATGAACGTCTCGCTGCCGTAGGATCCGGAGCCGAGCGTGAACGTATAGCCCGCACCCACCCACTCGACGCCGTTCCAGCCGTCGCCGTACGAGTCGTACATGTCGAGCGTGCACTCGCCGGGCGGCGCGGACAGGGTGCCGGAGTAGGGAGCCCCTCCACTGCCGATCAACGCGCCGCTGCACGTCAGGTCCCACGACACCTCGGACGGGTAGCTGCCGCCACCCACAGTGACCTGGAAGTCGATTGGCGGCTGCGGCGGAAAGGATGGCGGCGGCGGAGAGGACGGCGGTGACGGAGGCAGCGACGACGGTGACGGAGGCAGCGACGGCGGCGGCGGCAGCGACGGCGGCGACGGAGAGGACGGAGGGAGGGGGGCGAGGATGAACGTCTCGCTGCCGTAGGATCCGGAGCCGAGCGTGAACGTATAGCCCGCACCCTCCCACTCGACGCCGTTCCAGCCGTCGCCCCACATCCACAAGTTGTACATGTTGAGCGTGCACTCGCCGGGCGGCGCGGACAGGGTGCCAGAGTAGGGGGCCCCTCCACTGCCGATCAACACGCCGCTGCACGTCAGGGTCCACGACACATCGGACTGATAGCTGCCGCCACCCACAGTGACCTGGAAGTCGATTGGCGGCGCCGGCGGCGGCAGCGACGGCGGCGACGGAGAGGACGGAGGGAGGGGGGCGAGGGTGAACGTCTCGCTGCTGGAGGATCCGGAGTCGAGCGTGAACGTATAGCCCGCACCCTCCCACTCGACGCCGTTCCAGCCGTCGCCCCACGAGTCGTACATGTTGAGCGTGCACTCGCCGGGCGGCGCGGACAGGGTGCCAAAGTAGGGGGCCCCTCCACTGCCGATCAACGCGCCGCTGCACGTCAGGTCCCACGACACCTCGGACTGAAAGCTGCCGCCACCCACAGTGACCTGGAAGTCGATTGATGGAGCGGACGGCGGTGAGTCAACCTCGCCAGAGCCAATCTCCCCAGAGCCAGTCTCGCCCGACGCGGACGGCGGCGGCGGCGACGGCGGCGGGGACGGCGGCGGAAGGGACGGCGGCGGCGGCGGCGGGACCGGCGCCTTGGCCGGAGGGTACGGCGGCGGCGACGGCTCGGGAAATTCGGGAGACGGCGACGGCTCAGGCTCGGGCGACGGCTCGGGAAATTCGGGAGACGGCGACGGCTCAGGCTCGGGCGACGGCTCGGGAAATTCGGGAAACGGTGACGGCTCGGGCGATGGAGCTGGCGACGGTTCGGGAGATGGCGACGGATCGATGTCAACCTCGCCAGAGCCAATCTCCCCAGAGCCAGACTCGCCCGAGCCAGAAGGGTAGACTGATGGTGCACATGCCAGCGGGAGCAGCGCGGCGAGAATCAGCAGCCACGCGCCACGCCTCGCCCCCGTCCGGCACCGCACGAGGCGCCCCGAGCTGCTCCTCCGCACCGAGGGCAGCACGCCGCACCAGCACGCTCCGAGCAGCAAGAACAAGGCGGCCCAAAACTGACAGCGCTGCTGGGTGCGGACAGGCGCGGAAGAGGAGGGTCCGCTCATGAAGGGAAAGTGGAACGGGGAGGGCAGGTCGATGGAGAGCTCGTCGGTGAGTGCGTGGTGAGGCTCCGCATGCCACGCAACGGGGGCGGCGCAGCGTGGCTGCTGGTCGGCGCACACACGTGAGACGGAGGAGATATCGGACTGGACCGAGTTCGAATCGGAGATCTGAGCGGCACGGACCTCTGCAGGCCATGCCGGCTCCGCGAGAAGAGGGTCGATGGCCCGGCCAAGCTGGAGGAAGAGATCCTTGGTTGTGGCTGGAGAAGCGGTCGCCAATCTGTTCACCCGCCACTCGCCGCCGTCGGCGTGCATGCTAGAGACGGGCGCGCCGAGGCCAGTCTCAACCAGCTTCTCGGGCGTGTTCCCAGCGTCGGCGGACCGCATCTCGGGCGACGTGCCGTTCACGGGCAGGACGGTTTCGCGAACGATGATCCCCGATCTGCTGCTGTAGACGGGACCGATAGAGTCGATCTCAGGCTCGCCCTTGCGCTCCGTGCTGTTGCGCGAGGCCGGGGCGGTCTCCAAATCGGCCTCAACCTACTCGCAAGGCAATCGTTCCGTCAGCGGGTTACAAGGTAGCTCGCACACACAAAGAGCCAGAGGGGCGCTCACCGGCTGCTTCTCGTAAAAGTCCTTGACGGACGCCGGCGGCTCGCCAATCAGGTGCAACGGCTCGCCCACCGCCTCTTTGATCGCTTCCATCAGTGCTTCCCACGAGCGCCCCTCGTCGCGTTCGCCCTGATCAGCGCGCGGGCTGTTAGTCGCGAGCTTGCGGATACTAGCACGCGCGAGCGAGCGCGCACCGGGTGGTTGGCGGGCGCGCTGTCCGATGACACGATGGCTGCAAACGAGCTGGTGTCGTTGCCGCCAACCTCGCAGAAGCCGTTGGGCGATGCCGGCGTGAACGGCTTCGCGACGGTTGCGGGAGGCGATGTCGGCCACGGGGAGTCGTACCGCTGCGAGGAGAGAAGCGCGGAGGTGGCAGAGCACGAGGAGTGCGCAAACGCGGCTCCGAGGCAGATCAGCGCGAGCATGCCAAAGAGGCGGAGCAAGTTGTAGGACTTTGACCACGGGAACCGGCCGGCGGCAGAGCCCTCGGGCGTGGTATTCGTGGTCGTCTCGACGTCGACCGTCGCGCCCTGAACAAGAGGGCGCGAGACTGGCCGTGTGAGAGCGGCGAGCGAGGGAGGAGGCCGCATAAATGCAGGCGGCGCGCACCGAGTCTGCGGTCGGCGGCGTGGAGCCGCCGGTCACCTTGCCGGTGCCACCGAGGATGCCCTCGTTGCCGTCCATTTTGAGCAGGGCCCCGAACCTGTTGTTGCCGCCGACCGGGGCGATGCTCTTGGTGCGGACGATCGGGGCGGACGCGCCCTTGCGCCCCTTCTTGCGGCGCGTGGCCCTGTCGGGGATGCCCTGCGCACGCGCAAGCGGTGGGTGCGTCAATAGTTGAGGCTCTGCGCGTACAACCGCAGCGTGCGAGGCGCTCACCGCCGGGGCGAGCTTCTCCGCTAGCGGAGACTCCTTGCGCTCGATCTTGCGGAGCGGGGAGGGGGTCTTCCACCCGTCGATGACCTGCGCGCGCGTGCCGTGCGGCAGACGAGAGGTCACAGGATCAATGTAAGTGCCCGCCTGTAGGACTCGCGTGTCCCCGCAATACCCGCGTGTGCTTCTGCTGGGAGGTGCTCACCGCCGGGGCGGCCGTCTCCTCTGGAAACTCCTTCCAGTCGGCGTCGCCCTACGCGTCGAACGCGGGATGGGGTCACAGAGTGGGTCGGCAGACGCCGGCGCGCACCAGGCGCTCGCCGCCGTGGCGGCGGGCTTCTTCTCCTCCGGAAATTCCTTGATCGACGGCAGCGGCGCGCCGCCGGCCTCCGCCGGCTTGAGGGCCGTGGCGGCCTCGGTGGCCGGCTTGAGCGCCGGGTTCTTGATGGCGCCGGTCTCGTCAACGCAGGCCTCCGCGCCAGACGTTGCCGCAGGGATGTCCTTCTTGAGGGCGCCCTTGACGGCGCCGGTGGGGGCCGTCGGTGGGCCGGTCGGGCGCGTAAACTTGGACCAGAAAACGGCGGGCGGCCCCTGCTCGTGGGCGGCGAACATGGCCTTGGCCTTGTCCGAGTCGACCGCGCCCGCGTCGGGCGCCTTTTCCGCGGCCGGGTCCTTCTTGAGGACGTCCTCCGTGCCAGACTTTGCCACGGGGATGTCCTTGACGTTCTTGACGCCGCACGCCTGTGGGCGAGGGAAAGTACGCACAGGCTTTCAGAGACGGGAGAGGGATGATAACGATCCTGGCGAGCGCACGCGCACCTTCGCTCCGAGGAGCGAAGGCGACACCGACTCGGAGATGACTCCGACCTTCGCGAAGGACTTCATCGGCGAAGACTCGCCCGCGACGTTGCCGCCGCCCGCGTCAATGCCGTCCTTGAGCGGGCTGGGCTCGCTCTCGGGCGGGATGCCGACGGCCTTGGCGCCGGCCGGATCGTCGACGGTGAACGCCTCGGGCACGGCGTCGAGCGAAACGCCCGCAAAGTGGACGCCGGCGAGCGAGCCGGCGGGCTCGCCCTCGGACGGGACGTTGCCAGTGCCGGTGTTGGCGGTGCAGGTGCCGCCGGTGCCGGTGTCGATGCCATCCTCGAGCGAGACGGGCTCGGAGGGGATGCCGACGGCGTTACCTCCGTCAGAGTCGACGACGGCCGTGTTGTCCGCCAGAGACGCCTGTCAGCCACAGAACGCGAGAGGGTCGTCTTGCAGGGAAGGCGCAGCGTTGCGTGGGTTGCAGCGGTGCGCGTGTGCATACCCCCTCCCTCAGCCACTGCAAATTAACGCACACCTGCTTGTCAGCAAGCGGCGGCGGAGGAGAGAGCTTGAGCACGAGCTTGTCACCGGCGGCCGGCACCAGCTCGAGTTTGAGCATGTTGATCGAATGAATTCCTGCAGAGAGTCAAGAAGCGGTTGAAGGTGGTGTCCCCGATGGTAGGTGCAGGCCAGCGCTCGAGTGGCCCTCGCGGCTGCGGACACAGAGTCTTGGCACTCTCTAGATGTAGCAGAGATGCGAGGCGGTGCGAGTACCCGCGTAAGAGAGGGAGGGCGGTCGGACGGGTTCGCGCGGGACAAGGGTGTGGAATGGGCAGCAGCGGACGCGTCTCGCGGCCTCCTCCATGGCAGCGGCTGTACCTGCGAGCGGGAGTAGGCAGGCGGTGCGAGGCCGAGGGGGGTCAGCCGCTCGCGCGGCGAGCGAGGGCGCATCGCATGGTAGGGGTGGTGAGGGGGCGGCGGGTTCCGTGAGCAATAGGCGTCGCGGGGGTCTAGGTGTGCAGCTCGCGGCTGCATAGTCGGGCGCAATGCGGCGCGGCAAGCGCGAGCGGACGAGGAAAGTGCTGGCTTTGCCTTACGACTCGCTCTCTCCGCGTAGAGCGTTCACGCAGAGAGAGCGAAAGAATTTCAGCGGAAAGATCTTCGAGTCACCGTTCACAGTTGTGCGGTGAGTATGGCGCTTCCTTGTGTGGATGTCAGGTAAACGCCACAGCCCGAGCCCGAAGGGCGAAGGAGAATCCCACCCCTATCCAACAAAAGTATTCCGTAGCACGATCGAGGGGAGATCTTAGAGAGAGAGAGATTTTAGCCCCCCCCTACCCGGTTGCACTCGTGCGACGTAGCGGGGGTTACCCACGACTACGTTTACGAAAACATAAGTAGTCCCGCGAGGTGTGAATTTGGCCGCCCAGTTAGCCCCCTTTTCCAGTCAGGGTTTTTTTCGTGGCAAACCTCGTCATCCTGCTGACACAAAAACAAGCTCCTCTTGTAGCTCGATCGGTCACACCGCCATCGCCGTCGGGGAGAGGGGGGACGACACTGCTCTGGCAGCGTCCAGCGTGCACCTCGATCCTGTACCGTGTTTGTTATGACCCCCCCCCCCAATAAACACACCAGTGAGGGAGGGCGAGACGATCGAGGGGTCCCGTACCATGCGGAATCGCCCTTATCCAGTGCTCAAGTGCTCAAGTGTGCACACACACACACACACACACACACACACACACACACACACACACACACACACACACACACACACACACACACACACACACACACACACACACACACACAGAGCACAGTGGTCAACACGAGAACGCGGAAATCGTGACCTCGGAACGCGGTCACGGCAAATCTGACTAATCTGTGACAACCGTCAATACGGATGGTTCACCTGGACTGGTTGGTTTTCAAAAATCTCTCTCAGGCGCGGGAGAGGGGGTGTGGCGTGTCCCGCGACTGGCAGCATTCGCGGCGATGAGGCCTCCGCCAGCACCGATCATCACAAGTCGTCTGTTAAGCTACACCTTTTTGCCCTCTGCAGGTGATCGGACCGCTGCAGCCGCAGTGGAGCCGCGGGTCGGGCGAGGGAATGGCCTTTTGGCGCGGCGCTGCTATGTGCCTGCGCGCTCATGGCGCGTTCAGGGGTGCGCCTGCGGTGTGTAGACTGCGGGGCGCCGCGATAGCGCGGCGCCGACGATTGTGTCGCGCACTGTCACACCCACGACACGGTCACAGTGGGGGTCTGCAGACCACCCGGCCGAACTTCAGAGTCGCGGTGCTCCTCAAATACCGCTCAAACGCCCACGATGTTGTGGAGGGGACATATGCTGATGATCCCGGACATCACCATTTTGGAAAGAAAGAAAGAAAACAGAGTTCCCAAGGGATCACCATTTTGGCTAAAAAGAAAGAAAGAAAACAGACAACCCAAGGGAGGGATGGGAGGACGGCACGCCGCCACCACACAGGGATTTTAAGGAGAGGAGTGTGGTGCTAGCCGTCGCCCACCCTCGGGCGTCTACCACTTCCTATCTCTCTTCGCAGTTTCTCACCAATTCTCGCAGCGACCTTCATGCCACCTCTCGTTCTTCTCACTCTCGTCCTCGTTCTCTCCCCTGCTGTTTCATCCTCTGACTCATCGCTCTCCTCGGCCTCGTTCTGAGACGCCGCTGCCGTCTGCCTTGCTCTCGCTGCTTCTCTCGCCGCTCTGCGTAACTCCGCCCTCCTCGCGGCAAGCCGCGCGGTGGAGTGTACGCTCGCTGTTTACTCGATCCGCGCGTGTGTCGACAAGGGAGAAAACGGCCACGAGAAGAGGAGGGCACGCGTGACACCTGAGCGAGCCCGCCACAGCTGGCTCTTTCACCTGCAAGTACGAAGTAGCAGACGCTGAGGCGTGCAGGAAGTGGCCGACACGGCAAGGTCAGCGCGCATTTGCGCCACGCATCGCGAGATGGAGGGAGTACTGCAACCTACAGAGAGAGGACCTGCAGCAGCTGCCAGACGCGACGATTCGCACGAAGGAGTGACTCGCCCGCGGCTTGCCGCACTGCACTCGCAGGTATGCCCTCCGGGCGGAGGTTGAGCACTAGCCGCAAGGCACACGACCTGACCGCGGCCAGTGCTCAACCTGCAGCACCGGGCCTACAGCGAGGAGTGATACGGTGATTGACGAGGCAGTGGTTCATGCGGTGGTGGAATCGGTGTCAAAACCGAGCCAACAGGCTGAAACGGCACGGGAGCTCACAGTGTGCCTCACTGAGAGTCTCGCGGGTGCTCCGAGGCGAGCAGAGCGCGAGGGCCGATGGCATGTGAGTCTACGTAGACGCCTCATACTTGGCGGGGCTAGTGCCGGACGCAGATGGACGACGACCGAGTCGACGGCCCTGCCAAGCGTTCGGATACCCCAAAAATCAAGAAAAAATTCTGCGGCCGAAATCTCGATTTTTAAGCTCTCTGGGGGTGTTTCTGGGACCATATGCGACCACATTCCCGCCCGGGAGGACTGGATCAGTTGCGACCTATCTTGCACCATCCTGGTGTGAAGTCGCCCTTATCGAGCTCCCCTCGAGCAACCTGACTCCACTCCGATATTTCAAGGCAAGGAAGAATAATAATTTTTTTGACGGCGCGTGCATCAGGCCTTTAATGGCACCGCCGCCGCCGCCATGGTGGCGATCGCCAGTCGCTGGGACGTCACCGCCGCCTTCTCCGTCACCGACGCTAGTACCGCCGCCGCCTCCTCCTCCGCCTCTCCAGTGGCTTGCCTCATCACTCCTCCCATCACCCGCTCCACCACCGCCCGCTCCTCCATGGCCTCCTCCACCGCCCTTACCCCCGCCGCAAATGCCACCGCCGACCCCGCCTCTACCGCCGCCGCCGTCGCCGCCGCTGCCGCCTCCGTCGCTGCCCCCGACCTCACCGCCTCCGCCGCCTCCGCCACCACCGCCACCACTCCCGCCGCCTCCGTCACTCCCTCCGCTCCCTCCTCTCTTGCCCCCACCGCCGCCGCCCTCGCCCCCACCGCCGCCGCCGCCCTCGCCGCTCCCTCCCTGGTGGACCATCGAGCCGCCCCCTCCCGATCCCGCCCCGCCGCCGCCGCCGCCGCCTCCTCCGCCTCCTCCACCGCCGCCGCTGGACCCGCCATGCTTTCCGCCAGGACTCGAGCCCGTGCACCTCGCAACCACCGCGATCGTGCTCCTTGCCTTCGCGGGAAGCACTGCCCTCTGCGCGCTCCGCTGGCGAGGCCGCGAGCGGCTGCGCCTGTGCTGCACCGCTGCAAGCGAGCGGCTGCGAGCGTGCTGCTCCGCCGTGCGCACCCGGCTCGCGCCGGCCGCGGGCAGGCGTACCGCTCCACTGCTCAGGGCGCTGGCCATCTCGCCG